TCGTCTAGAAAAACATCGCAGTTCTTGTTTTTTCGACCTCAAAAATGGTATTCCTTTTTCTTTCTTGTCCCAAAAACAATAATATCCAGCTCAACCCGGTGCCAGCTGAGTCGAGCCCTGGTTAGGGAGCATAAATATTTGAAAGGTTGTTAGAAATTAGCGGCTAATTATGGAAAAGCTGTTTCATAACTTTGTGGACACTGGAGAGCAGTTGTAGAAAGTCAACTCTGATCGCAAAATCAACCAACTTTTTCCCACTGCGCAGGAGAGTTTTTTCATATTATTATTGTGGCTCAAAACTATAAACAACCATTATAACACATTTATCATTTCTTTGATACTAGTGAACTAGTGATCTATAGATGCTAGATTTGCAGGCGCATTCGCTGCAGGAACCGCGCGGTTTGCCGCAATTTCAACTTTTTTTGAAAAAGCTCTACGAGTCTTCATATCGATAGACTAGGTATATGTGAATTTTTTAGTGTTCTCTCAATCTGATCAACCCGTTACCAGCGAAGAGAGAGATGAAGCTGATTTCGCACCACCTGTGATTACCGTACCACCTAAGGATGTATCTTTCGCTGTTGGAGCTTCCACGCTAAAATTGCCCTGTGTTGTCACTGGCGTGCCAATGGCCACCGTAACCTGGCGCTTTAATGGTGAGTTTCATTGCCTTTCCATTCATAGCTGAAGCATAGGAGATGCGGGATCTATTTGACAATTGTATACCGCGCTATGATGGCTAATGTTTGTGAAACTCGATCGTTGTGAGGGTTTTAGGGTGGTAGTGCAGGTGACGGGCTGGGGGGAGGGGGGTGACGAATATGTTTTGCAGAGTAAATGATGTGTAATTACAGACATGGATATAACATCGGATTCTACCAAATATGATGTGACAAGTGGCGGTTTGATTATCAATGATCTGAAGAAGTCTGATAGCGGAAGTTATAGTTGTATAGCGAAAAACAGCTATGGAATGACAAGCGCGACGGCGAAAGTGATGGCTACTGGTTTGTCAAAGCCTCTGAAAAAACTCTTCTTCCTTCTAAATATGCAATTCAGGCTCGAATTTAATCGAGTACGGTCCTACAAATCAGAGTGTGGTGATAGGAACCAATATAGTGATACCTTGTGAAGTTAGCCCGGACTATGAAGCTAGCGCGAATGTCGTTTGGTACATGAATGTAAGTTTAAGACACTTCGAGGGGTTATGGATGAAAAAAAGACTTTTTTCTAGGATGAGCAGATTCCGTCAACGGGAAATCCAAGTTTACGTCTTACGAACAAAAAAGGTGGCCTACTGATACAGCAAGTGGGTCCGGATAACATTGGAGAGTACCGATGTACTGTATCAGTTGATGGAAGAGAAGAAAGCGCTTCTGCTTTTTTGAGGATCATTGGTTAGTCCCTTTTCTTTTGCTTGCTTCCTCATTTTTACTGCTCTAAAAAGTTTTGGAAGTTTTTTAAAATGTGCAGCATAATAACTTTTTTGAAATAATCCATTTATTGCTTTATGTGATTATCTGAAATGTTTTAGAACGACCACAAATGCCTACATTCGTGCGTGCTGAACTCATCAACACCACAGTTCCTGCAAAAATCCGCGTTTCCTGGGTTGAAGGATTTGATGGAAATTCACCCATAATCAAGTAAGTTTCAACATCTGGGATATTTTCTTCTCAAGATAACGATCTTTTTCCCTTATTTGAAATTTGAATCTAGGCATGCCGTTGAAATGCGAACCGTGGGTCCCACACAGTTGTGGAGTGACTGGGAAGTCGTTGTTGACAATGTTCCTAGTGAGGTAGGTTTCATCAGTGATTATCAAGCTTTTTGGCACACTTTCAAAATATCTGTCCCGAAAGTTCTATGGTTTTTTTTTCAAAATTTGTAACTACTCGCCATCTCGACGGATTTGCTTCTTTGTTTTGTTAAATAGGATTTACTTCATTTTGGTTAATCTTCATGCGCTTCTACTATCCACTGCAGAAAAAAATGGAAAAGAAAATTCATTTTTGGGTGTTTAGGAATGTTGCTCTGTATTGGTTGACAATCTTCGACCATCAGTAACAGCCGAGTTTCGTGTAATAGCGTCGAATCGGTACGGATCCGGAAAGCCATCTCTACCATCAGGTTTGACATTTTCTTTGGTAGTTCTTGTAATTTCGAACTACCGCCTTTTCTTTGACATCTGCTAGCAGATGGAATTTTATGACGTACTTACCTATGAATTATTACTGGTGCTAATTAGGTAATGTCACGATGCCGCAGCAACCACCAGCGGCTGCACCACGCAATGTGGCAGCATCGGCGAGGTCAGCGAACAGTATCATAGTGCAATGGCAACAACCACAGGAAGAACAATGGAGCGGCGATATATTGGGTTACATTGTTCGGTAAGCATTGTTTAGTGCACGCCAGAAAAGGTCAAACACCATAGTAATTGTGCTGCAATTTCACAAATTTTGGAATCTTCACTGTTTTTTCAGAAGATCAGGGAAAATCTGAGGTCACTTTTCCTATCTTGAAACCCTGAAGAATTTCTAAAACAAAAAATACAAATCAAAAATAGAAATCAACTTATTGGGCATGAATTTTAAGTGACAGCTCCTTCGTTTTTTTCTTCGGAGAATTAAGTCGAGTTTGTGTGAAATCTTGAAAATGGATAGAAAGTGTTACAGGTTATAATTTTCTTCATCCGTTTCTATTCCGCTCACTCATTGCGTCCAATCGCATTCAAAAGTTGAAAATTTCCGTTATCATTATCTCGATTTCCTCCCTCTCAAATTTTCGACTTTTTCGACCTTTTTGCATTTGTCGGTCATTTTTCTTGACCGGTCACTTGTAATTCCTTCCTAACTTCCATATATTGTGCTCTTTCTCTTCTTTCATCTTTTACTTTGACTGCGATTACGACAGAGCTTATAGTTTTTGTTTTTCGACTTACTGCAAGTTTATTTTTTGAAATCTCAAAAACGATGCAAAAATTTTTTCAGTAGTTACAATCATACACGTCGAACGAATTTTATTTTTCTCCCC